TTGATTTTTATTTTATTACATCGTTTCCGTAGTTACTATTTGCAAATAGTCAATAATATTGTAGGTCCATTTTATTGTTGTTCCTTCTACGCGAATTTTCATCTCATCATTTAATTTCTGTTGTTTCATATATTGATGTATAGAAGATATTTTAAAGTGATTCATCAGATGGAAAACGAATAGACAGATAGATAAACCGATATGTGACGCCATCTAGTGTAATTAAATTCATCTAGAAATTTTCATGAAAGTGACCCGAAAAACGGAGCTAACTCCGTAACCCTTGGCCCGACTTTAACGAAACTTGTTTTATTCTCATTTCATTACAAATATGGCGCTATTGTGCGCCGTTTTTGCTGTATTTAATCACAGACAAGCAAACAAACAATCTCAGAGTTTTAGTAGTATATAGATAGACTATTTATACTTCATATGTATGTATTTTTGTTATTTTTATGACAAATTTGTGGGTCTCCCTCCAGGTTATTTCCCGATAGAATTTTAGGGTTCAGTCCGATCCTGTACGTAAATTTTGAATTTGTGTTTCAAAAAAGTAAAAACATTACAAGTAAGTGACTGTTTCGTTATATTTATGAGTTAGGCCATACTTTGTTGAAGTTATATGTTACAGCCCAAGATACAAATTACTTTCATCACTGTCAAATGTACTAGACTTTTCACTATTTCTTCACGAATATTCAAACAAAACCCGCTCAACAATACAATCTACTTCAACAAACACACACACAAAACAGTTTTTATTTTATTTTGAGTATATTGTTACATCTCCGTTTGTTAATTAACTTTCCGTAACTTCGTTCCGACGAAACTTTAGCGACACAAGTCCTTACTTAATAAAACTGGTTTATTCTTTCCGAATACAACTTTACGATACACTTATTTTCAACAATCGCGCTAAAACAAACGCTATATCAACCAACGTCAATAATACTTCTGACAGCAGTTCAATTACTCACTATCTTCACACACACATTACATTATTCTCCCGTCACGTTGTCACCCTCTTTTATATACCAGGCTACTCTATATCTAGTAAATACTAGAGCATTCGCCAAAGTACAGGATAGTTCTAGAAAGTAGAGGGCGTAAGAATAGTCACGTGATCTCGATGACGCAACACTGCCCCCTCCTTAATATTGTTCGTCCCGAACAATAACCACATACAATAAACCAATAACAATTAACAATAACTTAAATAACTGTACAGAATTACAAACACAAAATTACAATTCAACAAAGTCTCTTAATTTTACTGGACGTATCTTCTTCCGTACTGGTCTCCATCTCGTTGGCTTCTGCTTCACGTGGGGTTCATCTACTTCATCAGGAAATGTCCTATCATTGGTAACAGTCACATCAGTGGTAGTAACTTCATCAAGAGCTTCACCGTTTCCATTCTCAAAACTGAGTAGTTTCTTCTTCGACGGTGGCTTCTTCAGGTGTCACGTCTTCAGCAGCGTCATTTGTTCTGTGGTCCACTTCATCCCAACTGAAATGTCCTGGACCGTGATAACGCCAAAGCCTGTTGGCATGCACCACTTTTGGTTTACCTCGCCGTCCACATTTTACCCGGAAAGTCACGTCTGAGAGATGATCCACTATATCATATGGGCCTTCCCATGGAGAAGACAACTTAGGAGACTTCCCTTTGGTCTTCCTGGGATTATACAACCACACCTTGTCTCCTGGTTCAAAGCTGACTTCAGTAGATCTCTTAATATAACATAGCTTTATGTAATCAGCACACGTTTCCAAGTTTGAACGCACTTGATGGTGAATATTATCCATCCTTTCAGATAACACTTTCAC